CCTCTTGTCTCAGATCAGCTACATGGACAATCTCAAAGCATCTATTGAAAACAATTATGGGAACTAAGAAATTAGTTCACGTCCGGTGGTGATGGTGGTACACGCCTTTAATCCCAGCACTCAGGAGACAGAGACAGGTGGATCTCTGATTTGAGACTGGCCTGGTCTACAGAGCGAGTTCCAGGACAGCCAGGGCTACAGAAATATACCCTGTCTCAAAAAACCAAATTAAAAGAAAAAAAAAAGAGTTCAGCGAAGTTACCAGATAATGGGTCAATATGCAAAACTCAATTGTATTTCTAGAAAACATCCACGGATAGTAGCACTAGCTAGTGTAACATAAACAGAGAGGTCACAAGGCTTCCAAGGCTCTAAAAGCTTAGACAATTATGAGACTCACAAAGCCTGCCTCCGAGGTTCCATCCACGGTGGCCACTCCAGGATACGCTGCAGTGCAGCTCCCTACAGGCTGGTGCAGGAAGCTCTGGGGATGCATCGCCCATCTTGGAATGGGCTTCTCAGTGATGCCCCTGCCTGAGGGTCTATCATCATCATCATCTCCCCCCACTCCACCCCCATAAGCAACTCCAATAAACTCAATGACCTGTCAATACACATGGTTGGAATCATCTCTTGGTTGTCTTTGGTGCCCCGGAGAGAACAGACACCTATTCACCTATCCCTAGAAAATGTCCCACGACACAGTTAGAGCCTGAACATGGACAGACAAAAAGCCAAGATGGGGTAAGGCTGAGCAGTTACATGGCCCCTGAGGTGGGTGGCAAGGCTTTGTGTAACTAAGGCTGATTTGACGGAGGGTGAAGCCATCATGAGGGTGGTCCCACCGTGACCGCCTTCCCCACTGGTTGCTGAGTTGGCAGTGGTATGGCCTCTGTTGTGAGTGATATGAGATGTGCCACCAAAGTCAAGCCATCTGCGCGTGAAGCATCCCAGGAGGCATGGAGACACATGACCGATCCTGCTCAGACAGTGGTGCAGAGATAGAAGTCTGTCTTTCTCCTCGTCCCGCCTTTGCTTTTATCCACTCAACGAAGCAGAGAGTGTGCCCCCTCTCTATACGAGTGTCAAGCCTCCTTAATAAGTGGAGGCCGTCACACAAATATGGAGATGTGAAATCTATGATTCGGTGTATACACAGGGGCCTTGGTAGTGGCCCCATACAGAAAACTGGGAGTTATAACTGGAAATTATCAACCTGCATCAGAGCTGTTTGAATTGAAGAAGTCTTTTAAACGGAAATGAGAGAGAGTCCTTTATAGCATGGCCCATGAGGTCATGGGTCATGGGGACAGCTGGGATCAGTCTGAGGACTGAAGAAGTTGAGAAACGGAGCAACATGACTGCTTTCCCTTTCTTGAGATCCAAGCTGTGTGATGTGACCTGATATGAGAGGCTGGTCCATACGAGCCCTTAGGGACACTTGCTTTAGTGCTGGCCGTGGGTCCCAGGAAGGACCGGCATTGCTGAGAAAACTGGACAGGAGAGAGACAGGGTTTGGTTTCCGGTTTCCCTAGCCTGGGAAAGCAAGAAACACAAGCTAAGTCCGGGGAACTTTGGGAACTGTATAGGACTTTAGTTATTCTGTTGCGGCTCATGATGGGGGATGACTGTCACAGGCTCTGGGACACTGTAGTGATGGGGACCAGCATATAAATGGGATTTTAGGTGCTAAAAAATTCAAGATGAGATGGGGGCAGGGAAGCAGATGGCAGAGCCTGTCTGAGTTTCAGAAGCGAATGTGACAAGATTTGTATTGAATCAGAGTTCCCAGGGGAAACTTTTGGCAGAAAAACCAAAATCCTCTGAAAGGCTTTAAAGCCTGGGCAGCAGTTTACCAGGGAGACAAGAGAAGGGGTGAACGGCAGAAAAGTGCAAGATAAAAAACTAAAGTTGAGCTTGTCCTGGAGCTGAGCAGTTATTTCCCACGGAGAATATACTACTCCAATTTCCCTCTGCCGAAAACGTATACTGGAAGAGGGGGGTTGTTTGCACAGCCCGGGGCTCTTCCAACAGTCAGCTGAGGCCAATTGAGAGGCAGCAGGACTAGAAACCAGCCTGTCAGGATTGGGGAGCCAACCCCAGTAGCACACATGGCCATCGAGAACACAGCCATGATGATACATGAAGTAACTCGTGGCTCACCCTTCCTCCCGTGCACATGAACAGGAATCGCTCCTTTGTGTCTTCACCACCATTTGGTCTCGGGTTTGCACCGCTGACTCGTTGGTCTTAGACCTCTGGACTCAGGCTGAACTAGTGTAGAGTTTCCTAAGTTCCCAGTTTGTAGATGGAAGATACCCGAACTTCTCAGACTCTAGAATCACAGAACTTGTTTGCCAAATAAACACATAAAGAGATTTCCAGAAAGCTTAATCATTAAGGAACCACAATGGTCACAATGAATTAAGACTGCATACACAAGTAAGGGTAATTATTTTAATCCGAAAACAGCAAGTACTGGTAAGAATGATGACCAATTAATTCTCTTCTGCTGGTGGAAATGCAAAATGGTGCAGTTTGGGAAATACTCTGTTCCTCAAAAGACTAAATATATAGTTTTTATATAAACTAATACTCTTACTCCTAGTCATTTATGGGCACAAAAACTCATATTCTCACCAGCTTGAGGTAGAAAAAATACAGATATAGAGAGATACCCAGAAATTTCTTTAGATTTGCCCAAAACTCACAAGTTACATGATTTTCATCTGTTAAACGAATGGACTACGATTACTCTATAAATTGGTATTTTCCAATATATAGGAATGGACTACGATAACTCTATAAGTAGGTATTTTCCAATACATAGGAATGGACTACGATAACTCTATAAATAGGTATTTTCCAATACATAGGAATGGTCCCCACAAGTCTCATCGGTATGTGAGGAGACTGGAGGAGGCTACTGACCCTAATGAGCAAGTGAAGAAAATCAAAAGTCCACTGTTCCTCTTCGAGCCACAGAGAATAAGATCACGAGGAGCAAGCGAAATTTTCCCCCGACCGGCCACAAGAGGGCGCCAGACCTCAGGACAGATGGCCGTTAGTCACCGTGTGGGTGACGGAATCGAACTCCTGACCTTTGGAAGGAAGGGCAATGAACAATTTCGGCCGGTTGCAAGCGCAATTTTAATCAGGCGTGAGTGAGTGCTTTCTGTGGCTCCCCTCCCCCCATTAACACAGAAAGAATGGACAGGATAACCAACTCCCACCTTCAACCTGGAAGTGGTTTGTTTGTCTGCTCACTCCCAGACAATGCTTGAAGATCAGGTTTCTAACTGGCCTGGGTGTGATTGCTGGCAAGGCTTTTCATTAGGAGACACTTCCCCATTCCCCAAACCAAAATTTCAATGAGGGTGTGAGAAAAAAAAAATCACTCTGCACCAAAGAGAGAGAGAGAGAGAGAGAGAGAGAGAGAGAGAGAGAGAGATTTCATAGTTGAATAATATAATAACTGAATTGAAATCTTTAGTGAGGAGGTTTAACATCAGACAAGGTCAAGCAGAAGGAAAGACCCACCGGCTTGGAGACATATCCCTGACAACCAACCCATCTAAAAATAGAAAGGGAAAGAGAATATACAAATGTAAAGATAAATTATGAGGTGTAGCTACAGAACAGCCAAGCAGATACTGCTCCGAGAGAGTCAGGGAGAGTCAGAAAGCTTATACAGAAAGAAAAAAGTATTTCAAGTTCTTCCTAATGTTTTTTTTTTAATTTGAAAAGTATACGTGATCATCACATCTAAGAATCTAAGTAAACAAAGCAAAAATGGACAGATCTGAGAGGAGAAGTTGATGGGAACACAATAGTAAGATGACATCATACTCTGCTTTTCACATGGATAGAAAAGTCAAAAGCCCAGGACCGTTGGGCACGCCTGTAATTCAGCCCCCGGGAGCAGAGGCTGGGGAAAGAGGTCAAGGCTTCATGCCTCCTGGGAAAGCGCTCTGCAAACCGAGCTGCATCCCTGCCCAACAGAAAGCTTTAAATGATGTCGTCTCACTAACCAATAGAAAAATCTACTGCTACATACTCAATACTTCCATTTAGCTGCTTTCCAGGTGACTTTTATTTTCCTATTTTCTACATAAGCTTGAGTAAGCCCTTTGCAAATAGGGATACACAGTACTCCAACTTCCAGCTGTACCCCAGTCACAAAGAAGGACATATGACCTGAGAGTAAAAGTTTATTAATCATAGGTGAATTCAGTTACTATGTATCATTAGTATACATACCCTAGAGGGAGGCCGGGGACAGAAAACACTAGCTGGGAGCCAGAATAAGAAGTAACAGCAAAGGTGAGAACAATCATCAGTACAATCAATTTGAGAGACAGAGGCGAGGTTTCTGGGTCCGCAACTACACGTGGATCTACTAAAACTGAATGTGACCTATAAAAAGGAAGAAAGAAATGTCTGTCACAACACTACTTGTAAAAAGTCCCAAACTGAAAACTGTAGATGCAATCATGTAGCTACCCAGGAAAAGCCACAGGTAAGTTCTCCTACAGAATCCTACACACCAAATGGTGACTACAGTCACGTGAAACAATGGAATCCATTTCCCCAAAGCATTTCAGAGCAGAAGTCAGACCAGGAGGATCCAACTGGGGCTGATCTAGCTCAGTTGTAGAACCCTTGCTTAGCATGGGTGAGACCCCCGGATCTGTCTGCAGCCCCTCAAGAGCATGTTTCAAAGAAGTAAGTACTAGATAATTCCTTTGATACAAGGAATTATCCTTGATCCTTTGATACATTTAAAATACGGGTACTGGGACTTCTTTAGAAACGCCTGAGGAAATGTCCCTCATGGGGTCATGAGAAAAACACAGGCGACAAAGAATTTAATTCAAAGTATTTCCCGAAGAAAGGCAAGCCTACAGAAGCGCTGACCGACCACAGCCAGCATTTTAACAGTGCGACTGAGCTTCTCAGAATTCCCAGAGACACCGGCAGGAGAGCCTGGATACTCACAATTACTTCACGAACAGCGTGGGCATGTCCTTTTTGCTGATACAGCACAGGAAATGAGTACCACAAAAAATGTTATAAATTTCCTCTTTCTGACATTTTTCCCTGCAAATGCCTTTTGCTAACCAGCATGTATCAAAAATTCGTCGTATGTAAATATTCAGTCCGCTTCTAGCTACAAACAGACAAAAAAAAGGTTAATGTGATAGTTATTGTCTCCAGTGTCATGGATAGATTAGACTTCCAACTCACCATACAGTTTAATAAGAAACTTCACATAATCGGATAGATATATCCATCATATCTATGACTACACACCCCTTCTGGTTGCTTTGGCCTCACCTTTCAGGGGCCCTGTTATAAGCCATTGGCTCTCATGATCCAGAATTACATGAACTACTGATCATTTATATGTACAGGACAACACAGTAGGTTCAGCGTGCCGCTGTTTTCTACATGGAAAGATCATTCAGCAAAGAAGTTCCGGGGGTCTGCAGAGACTCCATACCAGGAGACACAAACATCTCCCAGGTAGCTTTTGGTTGTCAAAACTTCATTCTGAAGGAAGGAAGACCAAGGGCCTAGAATTCAGAAGCCATCAGTCCCATCCTGATGTGTCCAATGATTTTTTTGCTAAGTGCCCCGTTACCTGTCCTAGCTCAATTACAGAGTACTCAGGGGTATCCTATGGGATAATAGGAAAGAAATGGCTCGAAGTACCTAAAACCCATACCTAAGTCTATCAATGTTAATACCTAGGTGCCCTTGGAAGCCAAGGGATAATGGACAGGGAGGTAGGGGGGGCAGTTCATGGGAATGGATGTAGCCCGGGCTATCCCTCTCTCCTATGGCAAGCCTTGCTCTCTCTTCTAGCTGCCAGCATAGACCCATGGATTAGATTTTGATCTGCAGAAAGAATCAATGTGTGCAAAATGAATAGCGTATGGTCAAATGCTACTGGTAAGCAAAGTTGCCTGCTGCATGTTCACTAGCAGAGCAGCCCCTCTGGAGACAGAGGACTCAAGAGGAGACACGGTGCAGTATCCAGAGATCCTGCCACACCCAAGAGCAGCAACCGTCTCAGTGTGTGCCCAGGTGTGTCTGTCTTTTTCATGGCTCACTCTTGATTCTCAAGTGGCAACTTTTGAATGTGAAGGTTTGAGTTAGGAAGAAGGAGCTTTCTGAACACCCACAAGCCTCTATGTTAGTTACTTAAGTGGGGGTTTCTCCATATTCTCACGTGACTCCCCCCTGTCCAGAGCACAGTTTGGCTACTCAATCTGATGCCCTCACAGGATCCAACTATGCTACAAAGGAATTTAATGCAGACTGACAACTAGCTCAGTGTTTGGATTCTTCTCACTGTAACATTTGCCTTGACTTCTAAATAAACAAGAAAGTGTGGGAACAGCCAACCATGAGAGGGGAGCCCCAAGAGTCCTTGGGGGACAGCTTCCCTTCTACCTTATGTCCTGTCTTTGCTCTAAGAGAGTTTTCACTCCCCTCTGCCCCATTTCTGCCCACATCCCTCCAGCCTCACTGACAAGCTTCCGAGATGCTCAAGACCCAAATTCAGAGCCAGTTCTTCTCTGAAGAGAGCCATCTCCTGTTAGTGCCCTCGGGTCATCTCTTTGTCCCCTGCAGCGACCCACAGCATGCATCTCTGCCCATATTCCTCCTGCTTTTACTACTGTTCTCTTGGCCCTGCCTTTGTCTCGGTCTTGTAGAGCCTCACACCACAATTCTGTAAGCAAAGGGATTCATTTTACCTGGTGGAACACAGCAGAGCAAGGCAAAGGCCACAAGGACCAGCTGTAGGCGCCTCATGGCCAAGCCGGTGAGCAAAGAGTCAGCTGAGCTGCAAGGCAGAGTCACTGTATGTGTGGCTTATGAGACATGAGGACCCGTGTGGCTAGTGAACCTTTTGGAACAAAGACATCTGCTTGCTCCACTGAGCAGCCCAATAAATGCAAGGTCTGACTTTGAATACAGCAGCTCGTCACTAACAAATGCTTGCTGGCTGCCACTTCTGAGTTTCCAGCCCAGTTTACACTGTGTCAATTCAATAGTCTCGTTCAAAGCCCTACTGGGGTTCTGTGTAGATACCTTTACGTCTTCAGAGTACAACCATTTAACAAATGCCTAATGTGTTCTCAAAGCCCTAAGTCTCATGTGTTGGGGATGGTTATTTTCACCCTTCCACAGTCAAAGCTCAGGTGTGAGTTCTCCCCTTTTGAAAAACGAGTCTTCTGAATTGTAGCTGGACTAGACAGCTTCACCGAGTTCATGTAAAGCGTCAATGGCAGCAGCACATTGTACAAACTGCCTGGCCTGAACTGATTCTAGCCTGGCTGCAAGCTCTTTAGAAAATCCCCCAAAGGTGCAGGATAACCTGCGTAGTACCACCAGCACAGTCCCAGAGAACACTGAGCCACGGCCTTCTACTGACCTCCTACGTGGTGTGAGGTATGCACAGGAAGTATGATAAAAATGTCTTCTTTGATGACTGAGGGTCAACAGGGCTTGGCAGCTTCCGAGGTGTTTAACAAAAGCCGTACGGTCTTGTGTGAAGGCCAAAGATCCCTTAAGGCATAAAGCCGAGCACTGCTCTATACAAGTTTTTAATAAGGCGCTTCATCTGGCTAAACAACGGTATTCTCGCCTGTAGAGCAGGTTGAACATCAGTGGTCTATCTTCCTGTCCCAGAGACTTTTGAGAGCAAATGAAGCAATTGTCATGAAAAATCCTTGTGAGCTGTACATCAGTAAGACCACATAACAAAGACCTTTAAAACAGAGGGGACACACCTTCAACTAGAGAGCCAGCACTAGAAACCCGCTCTTCCGTCACTGACCTAGGGCTGGCGCTATAGCTCAGGGTTAGAGCCCTTGTCTCGGATGCACAACATTGTAGGTTTGACCCCAATATAAATAAGTAAATAAACAAGCAAACAAACAAATAAATAGATTGCTATGGCTTTGCCCTATGTTTTGTCTACCACAGTAGGTGTGCAAAGATGATGGTGGCTTGAAAGAAAATAGTCCCCAAAGGAAGTAGCACTATTAGGAGGTGTGGCCTTATTCGAGGAGGTGTGGTCTTGTAGGAGGAAGTGTGTCACTGTGGAGGCAGGCTTTGAGGTCTCTTATATGCTCAAGATACTGCCCAGTGTTAGAGCACTTCCTATTGCTTGCAAGTCAAGATGTAGGACGCTCGGCTACTTCTCCAGCACCATGCCTGCATGCAAGCCACCATGTTATACCATAATGATAATGGAATAAACCTCTGGAAATGTAAGTCAACCTAATTAAGTGTTTTTCCTTTATAAGAGTTTCCATGGTCATGGTGTCTCTTCACAGCAATAGAAATCCTAACTAAAATGGATAGATAGATGACAGGTAGATAGAAGATAGATAGATAGATAGATAGATAGATAGATAGATAGTAGATAGATAGACAGACAGATATATAGACTGACCACCTGACCACTTCAGTGGCCTCTTGTTTTCAAATTCCATGAATCTTATAGCATGGCATGGGTTCATATCTGTGAAAGATCCATGAAAGACCTACAAAGCAGAAAATCAGCAAATAATGAACAGAAGACGTGAGTTCAGAGAAGCCTAAAGGGTCACGTGGTCACAATGCTGTGAGAGACACTCCTAAAGAGCATGTTCCAACCAGAAGCACAGCCAGATTTTCTTTCCCATAGTCCATAAGGTTTCTGATCACCTCTCCCCCAGCCAATCACCTTGGCCTCCATTTCAACCCTTCCTCTGTGTCCTACAGAATCCCGACTCCCTTGGACACATCTTTACCCCTCCATCTCCGAGTTAGTGGTTCTGGGTTCTCTGAGGGCAGTGCTTCTGTGCACTGCTACTGTTCAGAAGTAACCTACCTTCTGGGGCATCCCAAGCCATGGGGCAGGCAAGTAGCTTCTTTCGATCTCCTAATGGCCCCCTGCCCCTTCCACAGCAATATCTTCTGTGAAATGGGTACCTCCTATCCCTCTCCCTGCTCACACTGAGTACATCATCACACCTTACCAGGTTTACCTCCAACATATAGTTCACACCCATAGACTGTTCATCATCTCCACTACCGCGCCTCAATCCTCTGAAGTCATCACCGTCTGTCACTAAACTAAGAGGCCTTCTATCTGGTCTCCTGTACCATGTTTAGATAACTACCATCTGTCCTCCCCTCAATAACTGAAATATCCTTTATAGAAACCTGATTGTGAATTTGCCTGGGAAAAGCCCTTCAGTGGTTCCCACAGTGAGATCCACTAGCAAGGACAACTAATGTGTGCTGTCCTGGTTTGCTTTCTGATGTCATAATAAAACACTACAACCAAAAGCCACTTGAGGAGCAAAGCATCGGTTGGGCTGATACATCTTTCTCAATTACAGTCCCTCACCCAAGGGAGCCAAGGCAGGCTGCTGAAGGCAGGAACTCAAACACAGACTAGACAAGAAAGCGCCTTGCAGGCTTGCTCTCCACGGTTTGCGTGGTTTGCTTTCTTCTATACCATCTGCCCAGGGGTAGTAGCTCCCACTGTTGGCTAGGTCCTTTCACATAAAATGTCCCTCCCAGGCCAATCCGATGGAAGCATTTTCTCAGCTGAGGTTTCTTATTCTCAGATGAGTCTAGTTTCCTTTGAGGATAGAGACTAGCGTAAATGTGCTTATATGGAAAGGTTATAATGGAACCATTGGCCCCGAAATTAATACATGCTAATAAGGACTAAATAAAAATTTCAAAATGTTGTGTATCAGCCATGTTTTTTCTTGTTATTGTTATTTTTTTTCATTTTCTACTACCTGACAAATCAGGTTATTTATTGCATTCTAAATACTCTCTATAGGGCTGGCAAGATGGCTCCGTGGGTAAAAACACCATGATGCTGAGAACTTGCGTTTGAACCTTGAATCCCACGGTGGGAAGGAAAGACTGACTCCCATCAGCTGTCTTCTGACCTCCCTACGCTGGCCATGGCTTGTGTGTGCTCCCACTCAGAGGCCCACACACAATGATAATACAGTATTTCTAAATGGAAATACTATGTACAGAAGAAGAGTGGATACAAAGATGTCACTTTGGATTTGCTTTTGTTCACTTCTGACTTCTGGTGCAGCGAGGGAGGCTAGGCCAGCGGAAATGTGTTCAATAGACTTCCAGCATTGTTTTTATTGTTTTCAGCCATTTCTGTTTGGGGATTTTTATTTGTTTTGCATCTCTTTGCCTCGCTTTTTGCAGCAACTTCAATTCCAGTTGCCATGAAAAGTGCAAGTGATGTCTTTTTCCTTCTGTCTATCAATCGTCTTCCAGTTTCTCCACCAAACTTGAAGACGGAGTCTGGGAGCCTAGGAGGCAGACATGGGGACTAAACAACTGGTTCCCAAATCCACAGATGTCTAACCTTCATCTCCTTTCTCCTCTAATCCCAGGCTTATTTCCATCTGGAATTTGGTTTATTCAGGCTTCTCCACCCCCCCCCCCCCCAGACAGGGATTTTTCTGTGTAGCCCTGGTCATCCTGGAACTCACTCTGTAGACCAGGCTAGCCTCAAACCCAGAAGTCCGGCTGCCTCTGCCTCCCAAGTGCTGGGATTAAAGGTGTGCTCCACCACTGAGACGTCACCAGGGCTTTCTTACACCTCCTGCTCTTGGCTAATTCATAGAAAACTGATTTTTATTTTGCTTAGGATTGCCACTAAAAGGCACAGAGTTCTTTTGCTCTAACTAGATGGCTTGCAGGATCTTCTTTAGTTTCTTTGTTATAGACAGTCCCTTACTTAAAGTAGTTTGATTTATCATTTTGAAATTTTTACTACAGTGTGAAAGTGGTATGAAGATTTGCTGCCGGTTTTTCCTTTTTTAAAATTTGTATCTTCTTCAAGGGCTGTATGGTACAATACTCTCAGGATGCCCGGCAACAGTTCCCAGCAGCCACACAATCACAAGAGCAAACTACCTATATTTGACACAATACTCTCTTGCTAGGTGGTTTGACAGGTTGTGTATACTAAATGCCTCTTTAACTTACAGTATTTTCCACTTAAGACGATTTTTGTTACTATGTAAGTCCATCTCAAGTTGAGGGGCATCTGAAGAAAGACCACCTAAGATTAGTAATGTTTGACTCCCTGTTTCCACACAGAACATTCTCTGCTTCTGAGTTACTAGACGAGGAAGACTCGTAAAGCTGGGATTTGAGAGTTCAAGTCCCTCCACCCCCTTTTTTCCCCACTAACCAGGACTGCGGAGTCTTCCTGAGCCTAAATTGAGCACTTGCATTAGGCATGTTGAATGAAGGCAGCCGAAAGCTCGCCAGCGGTTCACTTAAGCTCGGCAGCGGTTCACTTGGGCGGAGGGGGCTGCGGGGACGTTTCCTGGAGCAGCTCCGCTGAGGATGGCACAGTTGGTGTGATGAAGTTAGAGAAGGATTCTGTGGGTGAGAGGCACGGGGTAGAAATACAAGGGAGGTGTACCAATATGGTCTTCATCTGCTACACTGCTCTTCTGATCCAAAAGAATCCGTGTCCATCCTTCGTACTGAAAAACGTTCATGGCAAGATACTAAAGTCACCCTATCAGTCCCTTCTGCCACGGGGGTTAAAACATTAAGAAACTGAAGAAATAAAAAAACGGCATCTGTGTACCTGAATTCGAACTCGTTTTGTCACCTCCGTGTGACTCATCACGTTTCCTGGAAGCTTACTACTTTGAATAATCCAATGGTGTAAAAGCAATGGTAAAGCGAGGTTATAGCGCCCTCGTGTGGTTGTGGTGACTATTACATGAGATCATTTCTCTGTCAGAGACGGG